GAAAACAGGCTGGTCTCACGTGAACCCAACCCTATGTATGTATATGAGACAGATGGACAAAAAAGAGAATGATCGGAAGCTAAGAAAGTAACAGGCCTAAAGTTGAAGAAAGTGTTAAAAGAAGGTGATATAAGTAAGGAAAATTTATAAAAATAACCGGTTTATACAACCCTTTGCCACAAAATAACCATATTTTAGAGGTTTTACCGGAATGACCACACGGATCGCCCTCGGGGTTGATCCATACACAATGGGGGGAGATCCCCCCTTAAGTTTTTTTTAAAAAAAAATTATCCTCAAAAGTCGAGATTACTGTTCATTCCTCGTTGACTGTGTTTGACCTCTCCCCCGGGGCGATCCGTACTGTATGGGGGTGATCCGGGTTAAAAAAAAAAATTTTGATTTTTTTTTTCTAATACCAATTTCACTATAAATACAAACCTCCTACTTCATAATTTTTCACACCTTCCCTTCCATTTCTCTTCTCATATATTTTACTCTCACAACCTTTAACCGATTAAACACAATAAACCATCACAACCTTTAACCCACTAAACACAATCAACCATCACAAAACATGAAATCATGTCAAAATGATAATGTTTGTGTGTATCTTCGAAGTGACGGTTTATTCCAAGATATAAATGGTGTTTTAGAGTACCTTCCGATAACCTCCCCCACATGTGCAATACGTTTATCTTCGCCAATAACGTATTTTGGGGTCGTCAAACGTGTGACGAAAAAGTTAAGTTTACGTGGTCCTTTCAATTTATTTTTTTAAAACGAATACGTTATATCAGTTTATGGACGACGATGATGTGGTAATCCTCCACAACGCCATTCATCAAACTTTACCAGAAATGTTGACACTATATGTTGTCGACAATGGAGGTTATGAAGGAAATCCATTAAATGCTAACCCGGGAGGTCCAAACACTTTTTACACCGGTGCTGTGAGCACACTCTTCCCCGACGTTAGCGTTGCAAACCCATATGGTCCAAGCACACTCTTCCCTACCAGTTGTGCTCCTGGTCTAAATCAGAGCACTTTCTTCCCTAACAGTGGAAGTGGTGAAAATCGAAGCACCTTCTTCTCCTACGATGGTGCTGGAAATTCATATCTTGAACAAAAAGTTACCGTTGAACCTGACAGTTATTTTGTTCAAGACTTGAACATGCCTCCGATGCAGTCTCCCAACCCGTACCCAATCCGGTCTCTCGAACTGTCAAAACCGTTGTGGGAGGTAGATATGGCAGAAGATGTTTCTGTTGCTGCCGAAATTTTGAACAT